GTCCTGGTATTTCCTGGTTGCACTATCTTGTCTTACTGTGGACTTCTTACCAATCTAAACCTGACAATGTTTAATGCCATGGACATTTGCAAACCACACTTGAAGGCTGTGATGGGAATACCCCCTCTACATTTACTCTGACAGAGAAAAGTATTTTATCACTAACATTTTTTTTTTTTTCAGATGGAGTCTCACTCTGTTGCCCAGGCTGGAGTGTAGTGGTGAGATCTCAGCTCACTGCAATCTCCACCTCCTGGGTTCAATCAATTCTCCCGCCTCAGCCTCCTGACTAGCTGGGATGACAGGTGCCCACCACCATGCCTGGCTAATTTTTGTATTTTTAGTAGAAACAGGGTTTCACCAGGTTGGCCAGATTGGTCTTGAACTCCTGACCTCAGGTGATCCACCCACCTTGGCCTCCCAAAGTGCTGGGATTACAGGTGTGAGCCACCACATCCGGCCATCACTAACATTTTTAGAGTTACCTGGGCAAGATGATTTTTAAAACCAGATCAACCTTTATTCCATTTCACTGTTTTAAAAATATACCTCTTATTGCCTGCACCTGGGACCACTGCTCCCACATTACCTCTTTTGGTATGCTACTTTCCGTAGGAGGAATGAAGACAGAGGTGCTGGCTGGTTTCTAACAAAGAGAAAAGATGGCAGATGGGAGAATCTCCAACTTGACAGTATAACTACAGTTACTGATTCTGTAACATCGTTTTTAAACAGTTTCCACTTGGTTTCTGTCATTTGATCTTTGTCTAGATCACAGCCTAAATTGTACAAAAACTATAGGCTTTAGAATCAGACAAGTCTCAGTTCAAATTCTGACTTATGAGCCATGTTATCTGGATTTAACCTTTCCAAAACTCAGTTTTCTTATCTGAAAATATACATAATGCCACATGTTATTCAAGGAGGGATTAAATGAGATCATATTTTATTCTTTTCTAAAAAGCTCTGGGCCCACTAGGTATGTGTGTATGTGTATATGTATATATGTATATGTATACACACACACACACACACACACACAAACATAATCACATAACACACATCCCTGTATGTCTAGACACCTGTCTGAGAAGTTCCAATGGCAGCTAATATTTACATTTACTACTATGCACCAGATGCTATTCTAAGTTCTTTGAGTATAGGAAAGCTCACTGAAATGCTTATGATGTAACTATGAGATTGATTCACTGAGTATCTTTATTTTTGGGGGCACAGAACTGGAGAAAAGTCAAGTTAAAGTGCTTAAAGGTGAAAAGATGGGAATGCTAAAGATTGTATTTAAAACAGCACTGGAAGACTGCAACCGTGGCAGAACGGAATCAGAGAAAGTGGAGAAGTCTTTCTCCCTGTTTATCTAAAATCAAAGGTTTTCCCAAAGACAAATGTAAAATAAAGCAAAATGTATATTAATTTGCTTCAATAGTCAATGCATTATTTATTATTATTATTATTTATATGCCATTGATTTACAAAATTAGATACTGGTTCCTTACGTTGATGAGAGAACAATCTGAGAAGCAAAATATTATGTATGTTGTTTATGTCGACTTTTACTGAAAATTTGCCTTTCTAATTACAAGAGAAACAAAATTATAATCCAGACCTCCTTCAATTTGCCTAGCTCTTACTTAGTATTCATACACCTGTAACATCTTGGCAGTTAAGCATTGTAAAAGCTTTCATTTTCTCAGTGCTTGATATGAGCACAGCAAAATCCACAGCTTCTTCCTCAACCGTCTACTTTATAGAAAGCTTGATTATTTTAGCAGAATGGTCTTATTATGTCTTAATTTATCTGGATTCTACCACTGAAATTATAATTATTCACTCTATCATCTCCCTAATGATAGGAAAACATGGAGTAATGACATGAAGAAGAGAGGGGCAACCACAAATTTAGAGACTAGTATCTCATGTCATACATAGCACACTATGAAAGCCCCATGTGGGTCACTCCATCTAGTTCTTTTCTCTTGGCATTTAGTTTTACCTGGCTTTCTTTCACATTTCCAAAAACATAAAAGGTGGGCTGTACCTTATTTTTCTCTGTGATATCGTTATTCTACATAATTACCAAAATTCTATACACACTTTCAATTTAGCAAAACTCTTTTCATTTCATAAAATAAGAAGATTTGTGATCCTTACAAAAAATTCTACTGCCTCTGGGATTTTTTGTTTCAATAACAATTAAAAATTTAGCAAATAGTTCATGGTTTAAAATAGCACTGTGTATATTTTTTAGAAAATACACTAGAATGTTTATGAAGATTACAAATCAGGCTGGTCAAATAGAAGTTTTCTAATTTATATCCCTCCTAACGCATTTCTTCCAATGTACTTTTTTAATCCTATACAGGACCAATATCTCTTTATTTGTCTTTCCTTCTCTGGCCAAACCATTATTGCTATGGATTTAGCATATATTGTATTTCCAGTCTGGATTTCCCAAACTCAACCTCCCCAATCCTGAATAAGCAGACAAAGCAGCCCTATACACTTATCCTACATACATATACTTACTAGCTGAGAGGGTTGAGTGTCAACTTCATTGGATTGAAGGGTAAAAAATATTGTTCCTGGGTGTGTCTATGAGGGTGTTGCCAAAGGAGATTAACACTTGAGTCAGTGGACTGGGAGAGGCAGACCTACCCTCAATCCAGGTGGGTACCATCTAATCAGTTGCCACCGCGACTAGGATAAAAGCAGACAGAGGAATGTGGAAGGACTAAACTGGTCTGAGTCTTCTGGCCTCCATCTTTCTCCTGTGCTAGGTGCTTTCTGCCGTCAAACACTGGACTCCAAGTTCTTTAGCTTTTGGACTCTTGGACCTACACTAGTGGTTTGCTTGGGGTTCTCAGGCTTTCGACCACAGACTGAAGGCTGCACTGTTTTTGAGGTTTGGGGACTTGAACTGGCTTCCTTGCTCCTCAACTTGCAGACAGCCTATGGTGGGATTTCACCTTGTGATCGTGTAAGTCAATAACCCTTAATAAACTCCCTTTCATATATACATCTATCCTATTAGTCCCGTCCCTCTAGAGAACCCTGGCTAATACACTAGCACTGAAGATATGTTAAGAACACCAAGCCCTGGAATCTTATTTAGTTATAATTCATTGCAAAATTTCCTAAGCAAGTTTAGTTTAAGAAAATTTGTTAACTAGAATTATTATATGTGTGTGTGTATATATAAACATTTCGTAAGTTAAAACTTGTTGATTATTATTATGACTAGATGAAACTATCCATGGTTTAAAAATATATAGGAAAATTTGAAGATCATACAGAATATTTCTACTGTTTTTCTGTGAGATGTTTTTCTACTGTTTTTCTGTTTTCTACTGTTTTTTTTCTACTGTCTTCCCTTTTCTACTGTTTTTCTACTGTTTTTCTGTTTCCCTTATATCAAGGGAAGGAATGCTTGATGTCTAAGAAATAAAATTGTATTTTAAAACCTTGAGCCTGCTTTGGTATACTCAGAAGCATCACATTTCTTCTTTTCTCAAATCTAACTGATACTTACGTTTATCAGGGATTCCCATGTTTTTTCCAAAGAATAATTTATTTATCTATTATCATTCTCATTTAGTTGTATGAACTTAGGGCTAAAAAAACAAAACAACAAAACAAAAAAGACATGACTGCTTTAAACGGAGGAAGCGAACACTGCAAATCAGTAGTTTAGAGGGAAAAGACTGGTTGTTGCAGAGATTGGTGTAATAGTGCCCCAAGTATGGAGGAAGGAAAGTGTTGCCAAATCCAGCTGATCTCCTCTGTCCTGAAAGTGACAGTATAACATTATAGTATCTCTCTGGTTTAGAATCAGACATTTGGCTACCACTGCTGTAAATTATATACCAATAAATTATAAGGGAGTTAAAGATAATTTATAATAACTTAATTTTCTGTAACAAGGAAAATCCCTCATACATACTTCATACTGAATGTTTACCACTCAGAAGAAATTCAAGTAAAATATTTAACATTGGCTATATAGTCTATGTAATGAAACTAAAGAGTTCCTTTCCCCAAGACACACCTTCATAAAAATACCCTCTGGATGATAATATAAAATGTACAAAGTGAATCAGACAGGTTCTTTCTAAATCTGCTTATGTGAAGATCATACTATAAAAGTAAGTAGCTGGTCAATATGTAGTAGTAAAGAAGAAAACAAAACCTGCAGTTCACAACTATTTATACTAAAAGTACTTGATTCCCTTTATATAAAACAAGCCCTGCACCCTGACAAATTGTGCAATCCATGTAAGATTCTAAGTAAAGTTGTAGAGTTATCAATTAGGTAGATATGGAGCTAAATGGCTCAAAATATTGCTATGATCTTAATAAGAAATTAATAAGGAATTCACCAAATCAAACCAACAAATGGTGGTTGGCACCAATTTCGGGAGTTTTTCCATTATGTAGCTTGGAAAATTAAGGTACTTCCTCAAAAATCCATTAGTCATTTGAGCAATAGCTGGAGTATTTATATATAGGTCTTTTTTTTTTTTTTTTTAGAATTATAGAGATCTCAGTTCATAATGCAGTGCAAAATCCTGATTAGCCATATTGGATAATACAATGCATATTTTAACTTGCTATTTCTTTTTAATTGTAAAAATAAAATTCTTAGTTTATATTGGAATCCCATTTTCTAGGCAAGAATAATTATGTGGTAAAAAGTCGCCTAAAATTCAACAAGTTTAATTTTTTAATAAAAACAAATGTAGAGGAGTAGCTATACAGAATTTTTCCCTACTGAGCAATATCACGATTCTTCAGTTATCTATGTTATTACAAATCAACTCATATTGAAAGTTTACTCATAAAGAAGAAACACCTGTATTCTCTATAAAGATTTCTAAATTAAAGAGTTGTCAATTATTTAGTATTAAGTTTAAGTTAAAAAATCAATTTAAGATGACAAGTTACTATTAAAAAACATTTATATATAAGTAACTAAACTCCCTTACCTTATAAATATCCAAAAATCCACACTGGTGGTCAAATCTGGTGTACAGTTCATTCAGCATGCTGATTACTTGCATGGGAGTACACTGGGCACATATGGCTGTGAAGCCAACAATGTCTGAAAAGAGCATGGTGACATCATCAAACTTTCTGGCCTGTACTTGCTGCCCTTGCCACAATTGCTGGGCTACATCGCCAGGGAAAATAGAATATAGAAGATCCACTGTCTTCTTTTTCTCTTCTTCCAGGGCCTGGTGAGTTCTTTCTAAAGTTGCCTTTAATTTATCCATCCTTTTCTTCAAGCCATCTTGGGCCTTTGCCTGCTCACCAACCAAAATGACATCTCGGGTGGCATCATGGATAGGGATGTCTGAGAGATGTAGCCCTCGGCCCATGAGTTCATCCAACTTGTCCACACATGGAGAGCCCAAAAATAAAATGGAATTTGATTCTGGAACATGGATCATTTGTCCTTTGACTTCCATCACCTGTGAAATTAACACGGAATTTTGATCAGTACTTTTCACATAGTAGGTTCACAAAATTTAATATATTATCTGATGAATAGAAAGAAAAAAAATGTTTTATTAGCAATACTCGGTTACTGCATCCATAAAAGCAAATTTAAATCTGATTTTCAGCCAGTTTAAAATTCATGGTTCTGAAGAGAAACAATTGTTTTATATCTCACTCAGCTACTTTCTAAAGACAATAATGAAATGGAAAGTGAGATCAGTGAAAAGTGAACCAGGAAAACATTTTTTATTTAAGATGATACTCTCAGGTACATCATGAAACTGGTTTATGAGCCAATTCAAAAGCTTTCAGCCTGCTAAATAATAATAAAATTATGGTAAATCCATCAGTCAAAATAACTATATTTAACTGTCATTAAAATAATACCCCTTTCAGAAAATAAATCCAGGAGGTTAAAATGAATCAAAGTAATTGTTTGGCCTTAAGTAAATCATTTCTCAACCATTATAGTACTTTGAAAATGTCCTAGTTATTGCGCTGGTTAGATTAGTAGACAGTTCTCTTATTCTTAAAGATAAAAATATAAACCAGATATCATTAAGCTAACATTATCAGAAAATATCACTCAACTAGCATGTTCATATAAGCTAAAAATAAATGAAAAAATAATAATTATAATACTAAAGGAATTTGGGTCATATGATAAAGAATCTGAGGATACAATAATTTAAATCTATTCCTCTTTTCTATGCCCTTTCACTGGAGAATTTAGGGAACTGAGATTTAACGGGAAACTTAGCAAACACAAGCTTACACCCGGTAGCCTAATGAACACCTTCAGAGGGCACGAACAATGAGCACCAGTAGAAAAGGAAGGTGAAGGCGGGATATGGCTACAACTATAGCTATTTGGATTGGACTAAGGTGAAACTAAGAACACCTGGAGAAGAAGCTAGTTGCAATTACTTAGAAAGAATAGGCTAAAAGTCGACCAATTGGGACTGTGCATCAGTTTCATCTATGTTCCACTATCACACAGAATGTGTTCAATACGTGTATCTTCCTTCTTCTTTATAGCTAAATAGTTAAGCTAGTTGATAAAAACTGGTGGCACTGAACAAACATGGAATAAACTGTAGGGATTTGGATTTTTAAGTCCGTTAATATTTTTACTTTGCTCCCTTGTATCATTCACCAAGATCTTATTTATATAAGAAAATTAAATGGAATCTTGCTTGATGTTATAATTTTTATGGAATTAAATGCTCACTTTACCTTATGTAAAATTTCTGCTAAAGTTCAGTATTTCATCCTTTTATTTATATTACTCTCATTTATTCACTAAAATATTTATTGAATATCTTCTGTTTACTAATAATGCTCTGCTCCGGATGATAAGGATAGAAAGATAAAATATGGTTCCCCTTTTCAAACATATCACAGTATGGTGGAGAACCAAATCTATATTGGGCCAGAGAATAGGAGGAGGAAGACATTCTAAATTCACCACCTAAAATAGACTCTTAAAATACTGCAGGCTATGGTTTGAGTAAAAAGAAAATAATTGTCCTGTAAAATATTTACAGATTGTTTTGTATATGTTTTGTATGTTTCTGGGGGGAAGAGTGTTGTTAATAATACATACTATCTTGTTAATAGGATCTTAAGGACATGGTAAGGAAGATACACATAATGTACAATCCCATAGTTTAAAAATAATAATAATAATAATAATTATTATTATTATTATTTTGAGATGGAGTCTCGCTCTGTCACCCAGGCTGGAGTGCAGTGGCGCGATCTCGGCTCACTGCAAGCTCCGCCTCCCGGGTTTACACCATTCTCCTGTCTCAGCCTCCTGAGTAGCTGGGACTACAGGCGCCCACCGCCACGCCCGGCTGATTTTTTGTATTTTTAGTAGAGACGGGGTTTCACCGTGTTAGCCAGCATGGTCTCGATCTCCTGACCTCGTGATCCACCCGCCTCGGCCTCCCAAAGTGCTGGGATTACAGGAGTGAGCCACCGCGCCCGACCTAAAAATTATTATATCCATATTTTTACAATTGACATAAGCGTAAAAACCTTGATAAGCTTAATAGAGTTAATCATATTTTTAAATGGCAATGATAACATCTGATATTCATATATTTAAACTTCTGTGTAGTCTCTCTCTCTCTGTCTTCACATTTCTTTCCAATTACTTCTTTTTTCTTCTCCCTCTTGCTTTCTTCTTTCTTTGCTCTTGCTTCCTGGAGTTGCACTTTTTTCACCCTCCTCTCTTCATTTGGTGTTTGTCTCTCCTTCTGCTGGTCTCTCTTCCTCATCGCTTGGACCCCACTCTCTCATTTTTTTCCGTTGGTTCCTGTTTTCTTTCTCTTTTCTTCTTAGGTATCAACTTTAACATTTACCATCACAACTAAACCTTATTCTCTTTTGCCTTTATCATCTCCATCTTCATTTTAAATATGGAATCAGTGTATGTACGTATGCATAAATTAATATATATTGTTGTCTCTATATAATACATTTTAAAGATTTCTTTAATTTATAAAAGTTTGAATTGAATACTTCACATTCCTGTCTCAAAAATATAAAACAGTAAATATGTCCTTGATTTATATGTGGCCATTAGTTTGTTTTCTAAAATCTCTACATAAACAGACCCTGAAAGAAGAAAAAGTTGCTGATTGTCTACACTACAGAAAAACAATTCATAGAAGAGAAGCCCAAACAAATAAAGTAAATAACTTCGTTTTCAATATTTTCTCAGTGAATTTTTTTTAATAAATGGGCAGATTCAATGGCACCATTTGTATCTCTGTCACCAATGTATTTTTACTTTAATTGGAAAATAATATAAATTATCCTTCTTGAATTATTTTTCTCATTATAATTATAAATTCAGAAATTCATCATTATTTGAATTTATTAACTTAGCATTAAGCAAAACTATTATAAGAACTACATATTTGTATGTAAAAGAATTGTGGAAAATTGCTTAAAATAGAAACATCTATCTAAGGTTTTATTGCATCTTACATCATATTGAAGTTTCAATGAGATAGCACAGAAGACATCAGAAAAATAAACTGTCATAACATTTGACAGATTTCAGAAATTGGTAAGCATAACAAAGGGGAGTATTTTGCTTTGAGCTATAGTAAAGGGTTAAATGTCATACTATCACAAACTTTGGTTGTCAGGTTCTGTTAAAGTGTCTGCTTTATTTCTTTTTTCATTTTACTTTTATACTTGGTTGGGGGATACATGTGCAGGTTTGTTACATAGGTTATTTCATGTCATGGGGGTTTGTTGTATGTTAATACACAGATATTTCGATGAAAATATTTACCACTGTTATCAATAAGTAATCAGAATTGAGTAAGTCCAGGTCATATAACTGCACATTACATGTTTTATATTTTTGCATATCTTGAGCATGGCCTAATCCATGCTCTCATGAAGCTTCAAGTTTTATAAGAAAATCATTTGAGGCAGTGTTACATAATAGTTTGAAAAGAAGGGTTTAGAAGAAGTCAGGCCTGAATTTGAACTTCAACTCTCCGATAATTAAGTGGGAAAACTGACCTAGGTTCAGTTCCTTAACCTTTCAAAGCCTCGGTTTCCTTATCTATAAACTGGAAAAGATTATAGTGATGTTGAGGATGATGATGCCTGTAGCTAACTCAACACATCTCTGAGTACTTGCTATTGCCCATGTACTATGCTGAGTAACTTAATTAATATGTAATTTATACTTTATTACTGAATTTTACTCTTTTGCTAGCTATTACTATCCTCAGTTTTAAGATTTAGGGAGGTTAAGAGATTTGTTAAGAATACACAGCTAATAAGCAGTAAGACCAACACTCAAACCCAAACTGGACTGACTCCAAAGGAAACACTCTTAACCACTGTGGAAGCCTGATGGTGAAGGAGAGAGAAGCGAAGAAATTACAATTTTAAATATAAATCAATGTGATGGCAAAACAACCTTAAAGAGATGTTCACAATGGGCAGTTGAAAAGAGAGAAATTGTTGCTACACACATAGATGTAGTTGCTATTTGCATGCCTATTCTTTAAAATTCAGTTCAGTAACAAAAACTGGGCACTTCTAGATTTAGTTTCTGGTCTTTCAGATCCCTGCAATGTAATCTATGAAAGCACAAACACAATGATATGTCCCCGGTGCTTCAACAATTAAAGGGGCTTCCAGAAGGGCTATTGCTCTCACAGAGCAACATTTGCTTTCAAAGAACTAGCTCTAGCTAAAAAAGCAGGAGACAGTGCCCAGCCTGAGAAGCTTCCATGTCCTTAATGTCCTGATATTCTCCCTCTCAAACCCACCATCACTCACTACCCAAGAAAGTATATGGCTAGAGTCACCAGCAAGAGAAATTTTGAACAACAAATGCCCAGCTAGGAATTACTCTTCATCCACATGGGCTGAAAATCCCCTCCATATAGAGACATAAGAATATCTGACCTGGAGAAGCTTGCTCTGCACCCTCAAGCAGCATTACCAAGGACAGTAGGAGCCATGAGGCATGAAATAAACCAAGATGAAAATAGCACCACATAACCTCTGAAAATTACACAGTCATTGCAACTAAAAACCACAAAAATAGGCCAGGACCTACATGCCAAGCCTAAACAGATGAATTGACTGTTAAAATAAAAAATTTAAATAGAATCTAGAGTCTCCTAACACAATACCCAAATTGTCAAAAATATAATAGAAAGTCAACCATCATAATAAGAATCATAATAAGAACCAAGAAAATCACAACTTGAGTGAGAAAAGACAATCGATTGACGCCAACACTAAAATGAATCAGATGTTGGAATTGTCTGTCAAGAATTTTAAAGAGGGCATAAGAAAATATTTCAACAAGCAATTATAAATTCTTTTTTAAATGAATTTTAAAAACACAAAATCTCAGTAAAGCAATAGGAATATAAAAATAACCAATGGAAATTATGGAACTGAAAAATACAGCAACAAAAAT